CCCACCACCACAGGGCTCTGTCGCACAAAGGTTACAGCCTAGGAAACCCCAAGGGCTCTTCTCTGTCAGATAGGGCCACTGTGAATCATAATCAACTCTTCGGCCAGCACACAACAGTTGGCAACCCAAGGTGAGCAGTGTGAATCTACCAACCATTCCACTGGTGAAAAGACGAGATTTGCTCCTCCTATAAATATGTACAGCCTCGGAAACCCACGGGGCAGTCTCTGTCCTAGAGAGTCGCAAGTCAGAACTGCCGCCACCGTGGTGGTGAGGGTGTTTTATGTTCGGTTTGGTTTGGAAGTGTCATTCTATTCTACCTACCTTGCTTACAGGAAGGGAGAAGAAGCCATCTCGAGAGGACAGCCAGGGGAGGTCAAGGTTCTGAACACTCTCCTTGCCTCACTCTGTCATCATGAAATCATTTCCTTCCTGCTTCCACAGCTTACTCTAACTGGCCTGTGTGTGAACCTCTGGCCACCTGCTGACGTCCCAGCCTTTTCTGAGCATGACATTTAAGAAGCTCAATGAAATGTAGCCACTTTGCAAAATGCACGAGATTCAAGAATGCCAATGGGCGTGTTTCATTGCTGTCATTCTAAACTGTACATCCCAAGGAAAGAGCCACAAGAGAACAGCCTGGTCGAAGCCTTCCTTGGACCCCTCTGCTATCCTAGGGTGGTGCTGTAGCACGAAGACTACAGAATTAAGAACCTCGCTTTCCCCACTCTAACCACCTATGATCCCTGTACCACAACCAAACGCCTAAACCAAACTCGGTGCCATTGAGTCAGTGCCGCCTCACGGTGATCTGACAGGGCAGGCAGAACTGCCCCTGTGGGTTTCTGAGACTCACTCTTTACAAAAGCCTCCTCCTCCTCCCACAGAACAGCTAGCTGGTGGGCTCTAACTTCTAACCTCTCTATTAGCAGCCCAATGCAAAACCCACTGTCACCAGGGTTCCTGTACCAGACTTGAAGGAATTGAGGATGGTTAAGACGTTGTCTTCTGGACTTCGGGCATGTTACTAAGAAGGGCGAGTCCCTGGAGAAGGGCATCATGCCTCACAGAGGGTCAGAAAAAAACAGGGAAGACCTTCATCGAGATGACTGGCAGAGGCTAAACAACGGGCTCAAGCACAACCCGTGAGGTGGAGGCAGGCCAGGGCAGTCAGAACCAATTCTGTGGACCCTTTCGTCACCATTCCCATTTAGAATGAGTCAAGTTGAATGAGAGCGCATGCAGCCCCACACTGGCTTCCAGAGCCCTGGTGGGACAGTGGCTATGAGTTGGGCTGCTAACCCCAAGCTCAGCAGTTCGAAGCCACTAGCCAGTTCCTCAGGAGAAAGGCAAGGCTTTCTACTCCAGTAAAGATTTACACTCTTGAAAACCCACAGGGCTGGTTCCACCCTGTCCTACAAGCTCGTTAAGAGCCGGCATCTACTCGATGGCAGTGAGTTTGGTCTAGATTTTAGGGCCCAAAGGTGTCCTGGGACACGGTGTGTTAAGCCTTGGGAGGGCTAACTGCAAGGTCGGCCATTCACTCACAAGCCACTCCAAGAGAGAAAGATGAAGCTGTCTGCGTCCCTAAAGATTTACAGTCTTCCAAGCCCTGCGGTGCTCTACTGTCTTATAGGGTTGTTTCGGGTCCAATTCAACTTCATGTAGCGGGCTTGGTGTGGGGACACGAACCCACCGGCACATCACACTTACAAACTTCCAGTGGCACTGAAAACAAAGGCAGCCACTCGTGACTTCTCATTCGTGCGGCATTTTCCAAAGAGGTCCCCAGCGCCGGGCCAACCTCCCTGCTTACCTGTGATGCATTTGCTTGGGGCCAAGTGTCGGAGAAATGACCACTCGGGAGGCTGGGGTCCAGCATCAGGATTTGCGTTGCAGGGTCTCGCGCCGCCCCATCTTGCTCATAACCGCTGCACAAACGCGGCCACTCGTCCCCGGGGCCGCCCCGGGCCACCCAACTTCTCCCGAGGGCCGGTAGCCGCGCACCCCGCCTTGGAATGGGGCATGCCGGGGGCCACCTGGGGCCTTTCCTCCAGAAGCTCCGGGAGGGGCGCTGCCTAACCTAGTGGGGTACGGGCACGGTCACCAAACCCACGGAAGCACGCAGCCCCCGACCCCC